AAAAGCATGACAACGCTGGTAGTACTGTACTGCTAAAAAACCGATTTGATAAAGAGACGTGCCTGATTAGTTTTTTTGATAAGCTGGCCTAGTCGTTTAGGAGATACGAGCAAAAAGTTTAGAAAATGGCAATTAGTTTGTGAGAGAAGTGTATTGACGTATTGATAAATTGATTGAGATCCAGTAAAAAAAAAGCTTTAAAAAATGCTATTTGGCGGTCGAAAATCAAATATTTTGACAGTATGTATCAACTGACATAAATGGGTATCAAAAGCTTTTAAAAAATTTCAAAATTTTCAAAAAATAAATTTTAATTTCAATTTCAAATAAAATAGTATCAATATTTGCGAAATATCAAAAAACAATCTAAACAAACACATTTCTCATTTCTTTGCTTTTAACCATTTTAAACTACTAATTTATAATTAGCACTTCCAGAAATTTGTCTTTAGGCGCGATACATGTAGCACTAGTTTTTTTTATTGCTATTTATATAAGAAATTCATATATTTCGCCTTGAGGCCAGTTGCATGAACTTTCCGATACGTGTAAATAATCGACTATATCAACAAGAATTAGAATTTCTTATTTAGATAAAATATTCAACTGTTTATTTAGAAAATAAAGATTTCTATTATTAAAAACTACTTTCAATTGATCTTTGAAAAATATATCAGTATATATGTAAGTCGATTTTTGATCTTTCGTCGACGTTTTCATAAGAACGGTTGGACTGACTTCAAAATTTTAAATGCCATTTGATGTATCTATAAGGACTATCATTTGCGCGACGATCGGCCGAGCCATTTCTTTGTAATTGGCAGAAAAGTGTAAAGTTTTATGTCCGCGTTTTAGGCCACAATCTTAAATTGATTTTAAAAATTTAAATTGTTCGAAAGATATTAGTTGGGTATCGCGTTGATTAGTTTTTGGTAAAAATCAGCTTAGTCGTGTCTTCGTAATTAAATATTAAACAAAATTTTTTTGACGATTCTGATAAAACTTTGTATATCGATAGATGACGTAATCTGGTTGAATTATAAAAATTCATCGAAGTTTAGAATTTCGCCCAGCGTTGGACGATTCTAATCAGAATCTTTTTTTTAAATTTGAAAAAATGCCTTCCCCGAAAACTAATCCTTTCTTCGCTCTCCCAATACAAGCAAAATGTTTTTTTGAATCATTCAAATTCATTCAAATTCATTCATACATACATTCAAATCAGATGCTCCGTTTTCTCCAAAACTAATTTTTTAGCACTTTTTGTATTTCCCAAGCGGGTGCATCTTCTTTGCCAAAAACTAACCAGCAAGCCTCATCGTCAACACAAATCGTATGTATTTTGAATAAATCTAATCGGATTTCTTATTATCACAAAAATCGAATGCTCATTTTAAGATCGAATTTGCTCCGTTGATCCAAAACGACTGGACACGTCTTTGCCAAAAACTGTATGCTTATTTATCTATGCCAGCAAGCCTCATCGTCAACACAAATCGTATGTATTTTGAATAAATCTAATCGGATTTCTTATTATCACAAAAATCGAATGCTCATTTTAAGATCGAATTTGCTCCGTTGATCCAAAACGACTGGACACGTCTTTGCCAAAAACTGTACAGCACATAACCCCATGATTGAGAATCAAATATGTTTTGAATCATTCAAACCGGTTGATTCGTGCGCCGAAAAATGTAGACAAAAAATTGTATTCATACATACGCACATACACACATGCCCACACACGCACACACACAACACATACGTACATCAATTTTTTGTAAAGTATGCCAAAATATTTAGAACCTTTTGAAACATAAAGATATGCAAAAATTTTCATCTTCGCTTTTGGGACGATTACTATACAGCATGATTCCCAACTGATATCTTTAAAAAAAGTTTTTAATATCGCAAAATCTGTGAAAAAATTTTTGCGAAGCCGTTGACAAATGTTTTTTCACTTTGCCGAAAAAAAAATTAAAAATTGACCTTTCTTTAAAAAATTCACGCAAAAGTATTTAAAAAACGACAAAAGAGAATTACAAAAATAATGTTAATATAAATGCGTTCCCATTTTTGCCATGGATCGATTAGGCCTCCGATTCAGGGTCAGGCCAAGTAAGTGAAGCTTCAGCTTCGAGTGCTATCTTTACCATAGCTCCTTTCTTATATAGCATCAGCCCAGCAACAATATTGAATAGAACTTTCAGCAACCCTTGTTTCTGTATGGATGGGGTTAGGAAAATATATTGGGGCGTATACGTGGACAAATTAATACAGTTTCCATTATTTTCAAAATTGTGTGAATGCGTGCCAGATCATACGTCGATGTTGTCTGTATTTGGTCTATGGAAACCAAACATCTATGAAGAAATAGTACAAATGTTATAGTGGCATCTGCTCATTTTGTCCACACGTTAAAGATAAAACCTTGTGCAATGATGATGTATGGTATCTCATAGCTTATTTGACCTATGTAGCTTTCTTTCTATGGGGCTACCTAAGACAATGAGTGAACACTAGCCATTATAATGCCTTAAAAAAGCAGATATTGCCTAATTGTATGTATAGCAAACTTTATCTGGGAGATATTATTTCTAACAAATCAAATAAAATATTGTAAACATAAAGCAAAAATCTCTTGTTTAATGTCCTCGTTTATTAATTACTGTTCTTGTAAATACATCCATTATTCATGCCGGAACCAATACTATTCCAAATCAATTTAAAGCGAGTGATAAAACAGCCTCCTGGTCGCTTCAAATGTACAAAATGTACACTTACCAAAGCCTTTCACATGGAAGTTTTATATTCGTTTTGATTTAAATTTGGACATGACATCATCCAAAATGAGTAAAATTTGTAGTACAACGAACTGTATGCGTTTTTATTAAATATCAAAATTAATTCTTCGATTTAAGAATGGTATCAATAAAGTACTTTTAGAATAAAGAATTTTCAAATGGATGATATTTATGCCCCGAAGCGCTAAAAGATATTTAAATAATTAATATGCAATGCCATGATATTTAAATAATTGATATGCAATATTATATATTGAGATAAACTTACTATTCCATCGTAAATATTCGTTCATTTCTATTTAAATTGTCAATCTTTTCCATATCCTCTGGGCATAGTTCAAAATCAAAAACTTTAAAATTGGTAGCAACATGTTCTTTATTTGATGATTTGGGAATGACAATATTACCGCATTGCAAACTCCATCTGAAAATTTAGGTTTAAATAATGATGTCTAAAATATAATTTAGAAATACTGATTTATTTTACGTTAGATTATCAACATATGTTTCAATATAATAGTTTATGAAAAATTTATGTTAAATTGATCAAATTTTTTTTAGAACAAACATGTTGCGAAATCGATAGTGGAGTATCACAAATCTGATTGTTGACAAATTATATAATTTGTCACAATTAATTAATAATATTTATTCAGATTTATCTAGTTTTCTTATTGAAATACCTTAAACAAATTTGTGCAGGAGACTTTTCTAATTCCTTTGCTCTTTCGATAAGCCATTTGTTCTGAAGAAGCTTTGTAGTATGTTGCAACATACCATGGTTATTTGATATTCTTGCTGGTGAACCCAATGGACTATAAGCAGTGGTTATGATGTTAAGACCTTTGCAAAACCTTTGCAAACATTTCTGGTTTATATATGGATTAAGTTCAATCTGAAGTTAATAATTTAAATATTATCATATTGTTGTAGGAAAAATACAGATTAATAATTTGGTTAGTCATAACTTTCCTGATTTGTAACAGGTTTAATGTTGCAATTTTTTAACAATCTCTTCAATTGGTTTGAATTAAAGTTTGATACACCTATATTCGAAGCTAAACCGTTATGATATAAATTTTCCATTTCATTCCACGTGTCTAAATAGTCAACATCAGAAAATTGCACCTTTTTACCAACAATAGGTCGAAGTTTTTTACCTTCCTAAAAATCGTTAAGTTATTAATATTATTACAGTTAAGTTAATATTATTATTTTATTACATTATTTTGAAGTCAGCCGATAAGTAATGAAAAGAAATTGTCTAAACACTCTAAATAACTTGTTCCCGAGTTTTACCTTGAAACCAAGCGAATTGCGGAAGTCGTTTTTTCGAGCAAAAATAATTTTTTCGTTTTTCGTAAATTTCTTGCTAAAGAAGCACTCACTGTTTTGGAAAATCTGTTATATGGACCTGTTGCGTGTTATGTGATTTGTTGCTTGGTTGCGAGTGTTTGTCAGTGATATTCGTATGTTGGTGCCATAGAACTATCAGATCAATTCAATGCATAGTTCAAAAGTACAGAAAATAATATTATTACATGTAATGCAACACGGCCAATATATTATTTAGATAACTGATTGGTATTTCATATCACTGAATGTGTTACGAGCCATAGAAAATATATGATTTTCAGAAACAGTGCAGCCAGGTGCAGGTATTTGAGCTCGTGAGTTTGATCCTCACTCGAAATAATATTTTATTTAGTTAAGTGAATTGTGTTTTGTAATAAAAATAATATGTCATAGAGAACTTACCTTGAATGCCATTGGCCAATGCATTAAATATAAATCAACATAATCTAACTGCAAATTTTCTAAGCTCTCTAGCAGTGAAGTTCTAACTAAATCCGGTCGATGAAATGTGTTCCAAAGTTTACTTGTTATGTATAATTCTTCTCTAGAAAATGGTAAAAACAAGTACAAAGGTAAGTTCACCATTCACAAAGCATTGAGGAATTGATATTAATAGCCAAATATAGTTATTATACGGACATATACAGGTATTTTATATGAATCATCTAAACTTTATATTATAGTCTATAAGTAATAATTCTTCTTGTTTCTAATATTATATAATTTGGCAATTTTTCAAAATATTTTCAAAAAATACGAAACAAAAAGGACATGTTTATCTAGCGACATCAACTTTCCATGTTTCCTAATTATACCTAATTGTAAGTCAAAAGGATGCAATCTTACTCTAAATTGAACAAGATAAAGCATACATTCCGCAATTGTTTACACACCATTGAGTCATTAATATTACATCAGATAACTCGGATATTCGTATCTTTATTTTTGTTTCGGGAATAAGGATGTTTTTCCCGACCACCAATTCGGTTTCCAGAAAAGGCATTCCACTATCCAACAGTGTCACCAACATTTGTTAGTCAAATAAATGAAACATTGGAATCCAAGAAATACTATTCTGCTGTGTTTTTTTATGTTAAACAATTCTTTTGATTAAAATCAGAGCCTATTTACCGAAGAAATATCATGAGAACTTTTCCTCCTATTTGATCAACAGATATGTTATTACAAAAGCAATACAGCTTTGTAAAATACGTTCACAATTGATGCCGGTGTACCCCAAAGTAGTGCTATGGGATCTTGTCTTTATAACTTATTTACTTGCTTGCTTATTCTATTACTGCAACATTCGGCGGCGACATAGCCATTCCTGCCAGCCACACTAGACCTTCACATGCAACAATCAAACGAATTGTTTAACATCAAGAAACACAGCAGAATAGCATTTTTTGGATTCCAGTGTTTCATTTATTTCACATACAACCTTCACAATTGTAAAATCTACGATTCTTCGATACCACCATAGAAAAATTGACAAACAAGCAGAGAGTTATCATCAATGAATCTATTTCAACCACACTTTTACTAAAGCATAAAATATTAGTCTATAAAACTATAATTATTCCAATCTGGAGTTATGGTAGTCAACTTTAGGGCAGCGTTCAGCCTTGCCAATCAAAAGTAAAAACTCACTACTAAAGCATAGAAAATCACACAATTTTCACCGTTTCGGCTCAGTTTAAAGACGGTTAATGTACAGTTTTATTTTGAATGGCCTGTGAAAATCACAAAAAAATCCGATTAGATCGGGTGAGAGCGCTGGCCATGTTATGTCACTGCAATGTGGAAGAATGCGGCCGGGTGACATATGATTTCACGTGATCTGTGGGAAGTCGCCTCATATTGTTAAAACCATATCTCACAATTTTGGACTGCTCCAAATTAGGTCGCATAAAGGCCTGTAAGATATTAACATAACGAGCGAATATTTCTGTAAGTCTTACTATTCTCTTCAAAAAAGTATGGTTACTATCAGTGCTGGATTTACAGTAGGGGCAGTCGGGGCTACTGCCCAGAGCGGCAAATTTTCGACGGCGACAAAATTTGGATAGTGAAAAAAAAGTTCTATACAATATAATTAACTCATTTTCTTAATAACATTTTTTTATTTCAAGAAATATAATTAGCAAAACATAATACGATTGCAATGCAAAATTTGGCAATTTTAAATAATATAAAGATTCGTAAACGAGCTGAAAGTTTAAGAAAAATATGTTCTTCAGACTCCGAGCACTCTCAAGATGACGAATTTGTGCACTTACAAGTTTATAGCGCCAAAAACATTAACTAGTGACGCATGGCATTGTGCCCTAAGGCAAGTTACCGAAACTTTCCGTGCTGGAAATTACATTTTATAAAGAGCTTTAAAATTTTTTGAAAAATGAAAAAATTGAATATAAAAAACCTTTTTTTATATTTTGAATGTTTTTGAAAATTATGAGCTTTTAATTATTAAATTTATTAAAATTGAATTTTATTTGAATGATAAGGATTCATATTGATAACGAGACGTGCTGATTGGTCAAAACAGGTCTAAATGTTTCGAAAACACGGGCCGAAATGCCAAAAATGATAATTCAGTTTTTCAGAAAGTGAACGTCCAATAACATTTATAAATTCTAGCGGTTTCGGTAATCCAATAAAAAACATTCGAGATTTAAAAATACACTTGGCGGTCAAAAGTGATCATTTGACATATGCACATTAAATTATCAGATATTTTAATAAAAAGTATTTTTGTTTACATTTCTATGGGTTCTGTAACATTGTTTATCCGTTATACTGCGACGCGACGCTTACGCGCTTCTGTATTTTTAGCTGAGCTCTTATATTATGTCTATAAAATATAATTGAAAACATTTAATATTGCTGTATATTCAAGTAGTATATATTACGGTACTGCAATACTGCGGTACGGCCATGGTACGACAATTTGCCTTAAGGTACGATACCATACACCACTAGTTTACTAAATATTTAAACAAACAGTGTACCTTTTCACCTTGCCTTCCTTGATTTTACTTTTAATGCCTTGGCCCACTTCGTCCTCATTTTGATAAACATATGCTGTATCGAAATGTCGGTATCCAACATCAATTGCATATTTCACAATTTCTGAAGTATTGGTCATCTAAAATAATTATCATTATGATTTCTTCGTAAACTTTAAGCTAAATAATCAGCTCAATAATATTTAAAACTAGTTGGTATTGGTATTTTGCCTTGAGGCAAGTTACATGAACTTCTCGATATGTGTAAATAATCAACTTAATCAATAAAAATTAAATTAATTTACGAGTGATTAGAAGGATTCCGAGTGGATTTATTACACATAATTGAAAACAAACGAACACGTTAACTCGGAGTGTTTTCTAAAGAATAATTTTCAAAAATCAATCATTTTTATATAAATGAACCAGTCTCCATAAGACTTTATTGGTTTAGTATGTTCATTAAGACCAGGTACTCTACCGTTATACCAAGTAAATCGTCTAATTTTAATTTTAAATATTGTTAACAATAAATACTCATTTTCTCAAATTTTGAATTTTTAAAATTAAACTACTTATCGTTAGCTCTTAATATTTCAGTAAGTTGTATATGACCATGATATATATCGCGAAAAAAAGTTTCATAAAAATTGTCTTAATTTTTTTTTTCAACAGTTAGTTACAAGAAAACGGCTCGGTAGATTTTCACCTAAAACTGATCGGTATCATTCCCAATTAATATCTTTCGAACGGTTTTTAAATTTTCGATATCGATTCGGTAGTATGAGCTTAAATGTGGACGAAAAGTTCAACACATTTTTCCAAATTACAAAGAAACGGCTCGACCGATCGTAACACAAAACTGACAAACGATAGTACTCATTGAAATACATCAAATGGCTTTTAAATTTCTAAAATCGGTTCAGGCGTTTTTGAGAAAACGTCGATGAAAGGTCTAATTTTGACAAATGCCAAAAAAACGATACCAATTTTTGCAAACTTTGACGAATTTTTAAAGCTAAACGAGTTGTCGAAGGGTGGTAATATTTTAGTATGATCTAGAAGACTATGGTGTCTACCGTCAAAAAAATAATAAGAAAAATCGTAGAAAAAAAATTTTTTTAACACTTTATTACAAGAAAACGGCCCGGTCGATCTTTACCAAAAACTAATCAGATCCCAACCAATATCTTTCGAACGGTTTTTAAATTTTAAAAATCGATTCAGAATTGCGGGCTAAAACGTGGACGAAAAATTTTTCACTCTTCTCCAATTTACAAAGAAACGGCTTAGCTGATTGTCGCGTAAAATTGATAAACGATAGTTTATCAATTTTACCATATGGCTTTTAAATTTTTGAAATTGGTCCAACCGTTTTTGAGAAAACGTCAATTTACGACAAAAAGTCTGTTCGCGCACACACACACACACATACACACATACACACACACATACTTTTTCCAAGTTTGGTCTGATTCGATTCAGAATGGCTTGAAAAGTCGAGAAAACATAAAATTAGCGAATCGTATTTTTTTATGAAAACATAAACTTCTCCTTCGGGAAGTTAAAAATGAAATTATAGAAAATATCCAAATAATTATTATCTAGTTTAATTTTGTACTCAAAATGTGTTGCAAAGAAATCGATTAATATAGACCTAGATAAACGTTATTAATAGTTAATTATTAGTTATTTTATTAATAGTAAAATTAGTTATGATAGTATCTGCTCTTAAATTAAATACAATAAAATTAAAATATAATGATTAACATAGAGGATTATAGAAGAATGTGAAAGAAAATATATCTAATCATGAGACAACTCGCTGAGAAATGAAAAATTACCTGGTATGTTCCAAGCCCAAACCTAGGAAAATAATTGCCATTGTAAAACTGTAAGAAGTAAGTTGGGTCAAAATCGGAATAGATACTAGAAACCTGAAATTAATGGTTAAACTCAAAATAAATTCAAGAATAAAAACAATTGATTTTGATAATAATAATAAATTAGTTTTGATAATGATTTAACAATAACATCTTTCGCATCACCTTCGCATATCTGAAAGGTGTAAATTTCATAATTTTGTTAAATAAAAATAGTGTTGAAAAGATCAATGAAAATAATTTGACATGTCCAAATAAACTTCAATTTTTTAAAAAAACAAATGCATTTTAAACTCTTTCAATCATTACGACAAAAATTCAAATTCACTTGTTATTTTTCCCACTAGACGAAATAATATAATACAGAAAAGTAATTAAATTAAATTGTTAAAAAAAACATCATCTCTTCTTGCACTTTTCGCTTCTAAATTTAAATCAAAAGTAAATATTTCGAGATACGGTTATTAATATTTTTAATTTATTTTAACACATTCACATTCTAATTATCATTTAAATATGAAAATCCTAAAAATCTTATATATAAGATTATAACTTTTAAATAAAAATTTTGATATTATAACAAAGATAAAAATAGTAATTTTTAATTATGAATATTTATATTGTTCAGAAAAAGTCTCTTAATATCCACATCATCAATTTATGTCCTTCTTGTAATGAAATTTATCCAACAATTTCTAAAATTTTGCACATTCGAACGGATGATGTTCATGTCCAAAGGCTCTGAAATAGAAAGTTAATCAAATGACACTGATAGTAAAAAGGGCTCATTTTAAACGCAAATACTTACTCTTTTATCATAAACAACCTATTATCTATATTCATTTTGTTAAACTGTTCCATGTCGTCTTTGTTTAACTCGAAATCAAAAATATTAAAATTACTGGTAACATGCTCTTTGTTAGAAGATTTAGGTATGACAATATTTCCACATTGATAGCTCCATCTTAAATATTACATTGTTAATAAACATTAACAAAATATCTTTCTAATTTATTGAAAACAATATCTATAATTACCTTAAACTAAGTTGAGCAGGAGTTTTCTTCAATTCTTTTGCTCTTTTAGTGATCCATTGGTCTTTAAGGATTTCTTTATCTCCAGACTTTGCCCACTCCCTTCCTGGTGATCCTAGTGGACTATACGCAGTAATTATGATTTGATGGCATTTACAAAATTCCCGTAAACATTTTTGATTCAAATAGGGGTGTACTTCAACCTTTAGAATAATTACAGCAAAAATATGCAATTTCAATTAAATGTTAATAGCATTGCATAAATATATATTTCGCATTTGCATTTTACCTGATTAGTAACGGGTTTGACTTTGCTATGTTTTATTAACCTCTCCAATTGCATTGAATTAAAATTAGAAACTCCAATATTAGTAGCCAAACCTTCATGATATGCCATTTCCATTTCTTTCCATGTATCTAAGTAATCGACGTCAGAAAATTGCAACTTCTTATCAATAAACGGAAACAGACTTCGGCCTTCCTAAAAAATGCGAACTATGAGAATATATTATATTAAAAATAGGTAAAATGGCAGGAAAGATACATTTTATTATATTTTGATCCATTGCAAATAGACTTCATGAAATACTATGTTGTTAAGAGTTAAGTCAGCCAATACATTTCAATTTTGGAAAGTAATTTATCTTCTACCGTCTAAAGTAGAATGGGAAAATATAATTCTAGAATAACTATAATTTGCAAAATAATTAGTTTTATATTCACTACTTTAATTTCGAAATCAGATAAGAGTAGAAACTAATCAATAATATAATACATATACATAATAAAATATATGAGTAGACTCAATTGAAAGTCTTAATATTTGAAAGCGAAAATGTGAATTATTGCAAAAACGGCTAAATTAGGCCTAACAGATCAACATATTTATAATATATTATCTTTATTATAGTCACAGCATTAAAGCTAATGATTTTTCATATTTATTACAGCTTGATATAGAGCTGGGTTGGTGCTAGCTCATGATTACGCCACGACTAGGGCTTACTATACCGGAAATCCGGTATTCCGGGTAATTTGAATCCGGTATACCATACCGGCATTGATATATAAATACCGGTATTTCGGTATTATCATAATTGTTGAAAATTGAACTTACGCTATATACTTTACACATACCGAGCCGAGTATGACAACTTCGACGAAATGATTGTTTATATTTTACGCCTGAAACCTAATGAATAGAACTTGTTAATAAAAATTATTATGCATCCACGTGCATCGTCATCATATCTTATTCTTTATCAATAGTTTTTAAACATAATATACAATAAACGCGATATAATTGTTTATATCTTCCTATAAATCATGCATATTTATTCATTATTTTATCAAATCAAATAATCACTATATCAAATATTAATTCATGCCAAGTAATAAATAATCAATAATAAGATTGGTCTCGGTGGATGACATCTTTCTTTGCTTTTTTGGTGGCTGGTCCAATTTGTACTAAAATTGATGATGAAAATATGATTGTATACGTTTTTCAAGAGCATATTTTAATGAACAAAACATAAGTTACTAATTATATTTTTTGTTTCCTTAAATATATAATTTTAGGCGAGACTATTATTTGTAAAATTTAGCAAAGAAGTCAATATATATTTTATCACTTACGCGGTTTTTTGTATCTATTTATTTACCCCTAACTCCCTATGTCATAAAATAAATAATATGTAGTCATTTCAGGATAATTATAACTAGTAGTTTTTTTACAATCTAAAAATTACCAGCAGATATTAATACCGGTATCCCGGTGTTTCAAATTTCAAATATCGAATACTGGTATTTCAGGTGTTTGTACGGTATTGAAAGCCCTAGAAACGTCTCACTCATAATAAAACAAATAGCAAATAAAAATTATGTTACATCTCACTATTGATAATAATATATTACTAACACATATTTTGCATTTCCAAAATTAATTTACCGCACTCTTCTAGTTGCTAGTCGTTATTGTAAATTGTATGATTATTTCAAACGACTGTCTTTAATGATTCTTGGTTACGAGGCCTAACAAACTGTACATATGTAATAATTATTCTATTAAAGAGAAAATAATAACAACAAAAAAATTGAAATATTTTATAGTCATAAGTTTGGATAATATATATTTGTATAATAATAATTATTATGATTAATCTTGTAATGATGGTAATGATCACGTGAAATAATCCCTCTATTAAAGCAGCGTGATCAATTTGAATATAGTAGTAATATAGTTTATTATTGATTTTCAATTTCAGATATTTTAAGTTACCTTATATCCCATAGGCCAGTGAATCAAATACAAATCAAGATAATCTAACTTCAAATTCTTTAAAGTTTCCAATAGTGCAGGCCTCACTAAATCCGGTCGATGAAATGTATTCCAAAGTTTGCTAGTTATATACAAATCTTCTCTACAATATATTATCAAATAGTTAATTAACATTAATGAAGGCGATTTTATGACTAAAATTGATTATATTACTTTTTAATTTAATTAAAAAATAAATTAAAAATTTTAAAATGTTATGCATGTTTGAATTCGATAAAGCAAACGTAAATTAATTACTAGTAATTGTTGAACACATATACATTTTATTGAACGGAATACATTTTTAGACATCAGGTTTAGTACAAAAATAATTCATAATTTATTTTCGAAGCCTTTTTTGTAGAATTTTCTATTCTCAAATATACTAATTAGTTTTCATGCTTTACTGGTTTTATGGTTTAGTCTGTCTCAACAATATTATAGGTATAAAACACATGCACCAAATCAAATTTAAAAATGTGTTTCCTCGAAGCGTCTAATAGCATATCTTTTGCGAATAATCTCCATTTCGACAGTAGGTAATGCACAAATTATACATTTTTTATACCAGTGTTCAAGTATTTCAACTACCCAGGTTATTGCATACCTTTTTACTTTGTTATCTCTAATTTTGCTTCTAATTCCACGCCCAACTTCCTCTTCGTTCTGGTAAACATGAGCGCAGTCGAAATGTCGATATCCAACATCAATGGCGTGTTTGATAATTGCTGATGCGCCAGACATCTGAATCAGAATAATATAATATGCAAAGTTCAATAATAAATTATTTTTGGTTTTCCGCAGGGTAAGATATAGTAATCGTCCAAAAATCGAAAATGAAAATATTTGCATATCTTCACGTTTCAGAGCTTTACCTTATAAAAAATAGATGTGCGTGTACAATATATAAAAAATAGATGTACACGATTTCGGGCGCACGGTTCAACCGAATTGAAATATTCAAAAAACATTCGATTCCTACTAATAAGGAGACATGATTATTAGTTTTTGGCAAAGACAGGTTAAGCCATTTCGGAGATACGGAGCAAAGAGTGTAGATATTAATTAGGTTTCTGAGAGAACAGACCATTCGATTTTGAATGTTTCAAAAAACATTTAGTTTGTATTGATGGGAAGAAGTGGTGATTAGTTTTTGGAAAAGACAGGTCCTGCCGTTTCAAAGATACGGAGCTAAATGTGCAAAAAATTGTAGTTTTTGGGAGAATTTATTTTGAAATTTCAATTTTTTTTTATTACCAAAATATATTTTTTAAAGTAAAACTTCTTTAGGCGCGACTAGGGTGTAAATCGGTACAAATGCAGCAAAAGTGCGTTACGGCAGATAAGATAAGGTAAGATAAAAATGCCAAAGATTTGTCATTCGCTCTCGATGATATCATTTCTATACGGGTTGATTGTGCTTAGTCGTCGCATATGTGAATAGAGATCTGTCGTTGTATGCGTACCAATATCAATAAGGAAATCGGCATAGATAAATAACCATTTTAAAGTTACAAATCTTAATTTAATGAAAAATGCTTGAATCAGAAGAATATTTTACCCTGTTCCCCGTAAATAATTATAATGAAAATAATAAAACAAATGCAGCATTTGCGCCGTGTATAAAACTTAAGTTTCAATAAATTTCATTGAACTTATATTTGATAGCATTTCCTCAAAACTAATTTTAATTTGTCGATCAGTCGATCATACAAATCATTCAAAGAAATATTCTAGTGACGATTCTCGGAGTCTGCGTCGGTCTTATAGTAACTGTCGATCCTTATGGACCAACGCCGGGCTCAACGTGTTAAATCTCTGTAAGTACTTGCTAAGTGTTTAGGCAATATGCAAGTAAGTATATATATATTTCTCATTCTAACATCTATCAAGTCTAAAAACTTAAATCTGAATACCTGATATGTCCCGAGGCCAAATCTTGGAAAGTGATTGCCATTGTAAAACTGGAGAAAGAATTTTGGGTCAAATTTCGAAGATTGTTCACAAGCTGCCTGAAAATAGTATAGTTCAGACATGTACCATATTTAACCTTTGAATTATTATCAGTTGTTGTCCTACCTTTAAATATCTTATGTCTGAAATCTTCATTTTATGTTTTTAAATGCTTCGATGAATAAAGTATAAAAATGTAATTAAAAAACAAAAATGTCAATAAAATGTAATAATATATTTAAAACAAATGCGTCATATTAATGACAGGCTTTAGTATGTATAAACTTTTCTAATTAAATTTTCCAGTCAAAGGTACACAAATAATCTCAAAATTTATAGATATATCTATAAGTACATAAATAAAAATAGTACAAAATTTAAACATAATTTCTAGAATAATTTTCCAGAAAAATGTATAAAATTTATTGGGACACAAGCCAGAATTGTAAATTAAGATAATGTTTATTTAGTTAATATTAAAAGAAGTTAATATAATCAGAACAGACAATCCGCCTTCCAATAAGTTTTGGTTTCTCGACTTTTTTCTGGTTGAAACTTAAAACTTTGTAACCCGAAGTGAGTGTGTGTATATAGGTGTGCGAGCGTGTGTGTTCGATTTTAAGCCTTTGGGCGGCATTTAAAAAAAAAATAATTTCGAGAATTCAAAAGTGATCTTATAAAACTCAAAATGCGCTCGCGTCGATTAGTTTTGCGAGACGATCGGCCAAGCGGTTTCATTAGAAATGGCATTAATGCAAAAGTTTTCTCCCACATTACAGCAACGTTATAGCATCAATTAGAAGTGGTGTGATTTTTTATTGATTTGATCATTTTGTGGCCGCCTTTTAGGTCGTCCAAGACCAAAATAAAGCGGCCAAGCCAAGTAAAAAAAAAGACCAAAATAAAACGGCCGAATTAAGAGACGGCTAAATTGAGAGTACGTTGAATCAGAAGGCGGTCGAAGTAAAATGCAGGCGATAGGCGGCCATATTAAAAGACGGCTGATAAAGTTTCTGTTTCCAAATAATTTATTAATGTAGCAATAAACTTGGTGTAAGTGGCCCTTTACCTAAAGGCAAGTTGCATGAACTTTCCGACATGAGTGAAAAATTGATAACTATAAGAAATCTATTAATTCATATAAATTTATTAGTGATTTAAAAGTAAACTCAGTTGCTGATGCTGTAAAGCATTTCAATCTGAAAACTTATGGCAGATTATTCAATTTTGTACAAATTTTCTGAACATGTTAGTATTTTTTTTTACAAATAATGACATGTATAAATGACAAAAAATATGATTTTTTAAAAATTAAAACGACTTGATTTAGGGTCGAAATATTTAGAAACAAAAAAAGATTTACAAAAACCATCGATAATTTTTTTTTAACAATATATACGAAGAAAAGATCCGACCGATCTGTTCCAGAAACTATTCTTTATTCTAGGAACAGCACTATTCCCAAATGATATATTTGAATTTTTAAAATCGATGCAGGATTTTTGTCTGAAGCTTGAACAATACCTTTTACATTTTTCTGCTAATTACAAATAAATGACATGGCCAAAATTTGTGCAAAATGATAAACGCTTGTCCTTATCGAGATATCGGATAGCTTTTAAGGGGCACAACTAGTGTGAAATTTTCAAAAAATGGAATTTTCAATTTTTCTATATTTCAACAGGTTACACCTTTGAAAATAACATCAAAATTTTAAATCGATATCTTAAATAGTTTTTGAGTTACAGCTATTTAAAGAGTATAAATATATAGTATAACGATCATTTAATCTTTAAACGCGTTTTTCTCAAAACAGCATTTTTCGAATTTGCTACAGCGATTACTCAAAAACAAATGATCCGATCAATATCAAATTTTATTAATGTTCGATATATAGTTCTCCGTAAAATGAACAATCGATTTTTTGATCGGATCAAAAATCGAATTTTGGCAGTCCAAAAACGACCAAAATTTTGGGTAAAATTCGTCTTTTTTTTTAAAAAAACGCAGTCATTTTGTCAATTTTTGATTTTTTTTTTATCGTAGTTTATTTTAGAGACAATATTATCTAGTTTAACGAGATTTTTTTTTTTAAATTTCATCCACATAGATGGCCGGAATCACTGCAGCAGTGAAGGGCCTTTTTTTGTCGCGCCGTTGGAGATCGACGATAACTTAAAAAATATTTATTTTTTTTCTTCAAAAATTTTACTATGTATTCTTAAAACATGTATAAATATATTCCTAAAATTTTGAAATGATTGATAAAGTAGTTTTTTTAATATAAATTTCCAAAAATCACCTTTTTTTGGGCGGTTACATTAGTTGTGCCCCTTAGATTTATAGGTTTTTGAGAAAACGCCGGCGAAACGTCTCATTAGATTCAGAATGGCTTGAAGCGTCAAGAAAACATAAAATTAGCAAGTCAGATTATTTCGTGAAAACATAAACTTCTCTCTCTAAAACTTCATATTGCACTGTTAATATAAAAAAATTAAGTTATCACTGTTCACTACTTAAAAACTAATCAGTGTGATTCCCAATTGATATTACATACGATATGTTTTAAGTATTTAATTTGAAACTTCAAGAAAAGCAAATGAAGAAATTGCATTTTCTGGTAAAAAAATAAACTTCTCGTGCAAAAAGCTAATAATTTATATTGAACAATTATTCTTTATATAATTGTTTGTTATCAATTTTAATTTATAAAAACAAATGTTTTTTTATATAATATATTAATATAACAATACATAAATCAACATCAATAAAAGAAGTAAATAACATGTCAATATAATATTATATATATATATATATATATATATATATATATATATATATATATGTAAATATGTAAACTTGCATTATTGTTTATAAATATAAAGTATATATTTAAATTAACTATTTCAGTTCAATATCTCAGGAAATATTTCTGTTATAACTATATCAAACAAACTATACACCAGCTGCAAAAATATGAATTGCCGTATATAAAATGAGAATAAATTTTATAAGTTAATGACATTTTAATATTTTTATACCTGTTTATTGAGTGTTGGATGCTGCAAAGCCTGATGCATTTCAAGTAAGCATCTGCTCAATTCAGGCCAATATTTACTAAGCCTTTTTGTATTTGAGAACTTGTGAAGTTTTTGCTTTGCAGTTTCACATAGTAAAGCATTATTAGAAGCTACCACAGATTTTTCAATCTTTTCTGGCTTAGTTGCAGGAAACAATGTATCTGAAAAATATTAATAAAATATTATAATTTTAATATTTTATATTTATAACATTTAGTTTCATCTAACTAAAATATTTTTATATATTTATCTATTTATCTACTACATGAAAATATTATTATTATATATAAGTATTGTTAATCTGTCTCGTCAATATATTTCACATTCAGAAAATAAGCAAGACATATATATATATATATATATATATATATATATATATATATTAATTTGGAAATATGAACAAACAACACTCTTTTTGCACTAATTTATTAAATAATAATTTTCACAAACGTTTCGAGACTAGGTTTGTCTCATCATCAGTGTGTTATAATTAAAAAAATTTTAAAATATGGAAATCTAAATTAGCATGTTGTGTTTTTCATTACACGTCGTTCACTGCACGTTGTTCTTTTAATACCAATGTCTTCGGTATTCGTATTCTCTCCTACTTGAAACCACTTGAAATTGTAAAGTCACTCAATCAGATAGGAAAAAAAGGATTAGGGTCCAGTTGAAAAATAGATGTCGTTAGGAGAAAAAATATTCTATGATGATATGGTTTGTTTATAAGATTTGTTATACATTGTTGTAATTAAAAGTGTATGTACATCTATATATAAGCTACAAAGTATGAATGAGATTCAGGTATGTATCATGTAATATATTGGTATCTGTCCGTAAATTTACTGTGTTACTTGTATGGGCTATTAACATCGATTCTGCAATACTTCTTTTAAATAAATCTTGTTCATAATATAAAATGAGTGGATTATTGAAATCGAAACTATGGCTGTTAGAGATAGCGTGGTCTACAAGTGTACACTTGTAGAGTACACTTGTAGACCACGCTATCTCTAACAGCCATAGTTTCGATTTCAATAATCCACTCATTTTATATTATGAACAAGATTTATTTAAAAGAAGTATTGCAGAATCGATGTTAATAGCCCATACAAGTAACACAGTAAATTTACGGACAGATACCAATATATTACATGATACATACCTGAATCTCATTCATACTTTGTAGCTTATATATAGATGTACATACACTTTTAATTACAACAATGTATAACAAATCTTATAAACAAACCATATCATCATAGAATATTTTTTCTCCTAACGACATCTATTTTTCAACTGGACCCTAATCCTTTTTTTCCTATCTGATTGAGTGACTTTACAATTTCAAGTGGTTTCAAGTAGGAGAGAATACGAATACCGAAGACATTGGTATTAAAAGAACAACGTGCAGTGAACGACGTGTAATGAAAAACACAACATGCTAATTTAGATTTCCATATTTTAAAATTTTTTTAATTATAACACACTGATGATGAGACAAACCTAGTCTCGAAACGTTTGTGAAAATTATTATTTAATAAATTAGTGCAAAAAGAGTGTTGTTTGTTCATATTTCCAAATTAATATCTATTATCCACTCAGAATACATTTGTAATATATATATATATATATATATATATATATATATATATATTTATATATAAAATTATTTAATAATTAATGTCAAACCTGTCAGCATATTTATCAAGCTTGCTAAGCCAATTTCACAAATTTCACTCGATTCTACAATTTTTCTTTGTACTAGGCAATTAATTATCTTATCAAGAAATGTTCCGAAGAAATTGCTTAGTGCTAATACAACACGTATTACAAATTTCGGCGCACTCAGCAAACGCACCACTGCAATAATTAAAGGTATCAAAAATTGGAATATTAGAACATCTGATAATATTAAAAGTCATTCTATACAAGCAATCTGAAATAATTCTATCTAGTATTAAGTCGAGTTATAAACCATTACTTACATAGGAACAAAATACATTGTGATGGTCCCCTAACAACTGAAGGCATAGAAGTGTGAAAATATTCATCACCATCAAATCTTTGAGACTCTCTAAAATTGAAAACAATTGTAGTAGCTATTTGTAAGTTAACATATTTAATCATGTATATATTTAGTGTGAAAGTTATGTGATAAGATGTATTTGTCAAGAAATGTAGAATACTAAAAAAAACTTAAACAACCTAGTTTTAAGTGACATTTTGTTTTGAGGCGAGTTGCATGAACTTCCCGACATGGGCAAATAATCAACTTAATCAATACATATTAATTTATGAGATTTGATTTATGAAAATTTTAATTATTTGAAAACGAACTCGCGCTTAATACGGACAGAGTATTTTCTAAAAGCGCAACCGATTAATTCATCCTTTAATTAATTTTTATAATTCAACCACGTCATAGACCTCTAATATTTTAGTATGTTCATTAACACCAGTATCTATATTGCCATACTCATTTATTTTAATTATTTCTTAAATTACTTTTAAATTTTCAAAATCGGGTTTTTTTAAAAAAATATCGACGAAATGACGATTTTGATCCATGTCAAGAAAGCGCTGCTAATTTAAAAAGAAAACTGATGTATTTTTAAAATTAAACGTCTGTCATAGACAAGTCGAAAAAATGACTTGAAACTTCGAGAAAACAGAATTAGCAAGACGGATTTTTTTGTGAAAATAAAGACATCTCCTTCAGGAAGTCAATAATTAACAAATTATCATTTACTACAACATTTGAATATTTTATATAATAAAGTTAAAATATTTGAAACATGTAACTTAATTACAAATGATACTGCAAGATTATTTTAAAAACTATGACAAATTCTCAAAAAAGATACCTGAAATGATCACCAAATACCAAGCTAAATCTATTATTTGACAGTCTTTTATTAATCATCTTTTCACTGGCATGTGTAGAATCGCGCAGTATTTCATTTTTACCATTGATGTCTTCTGTATTACTCGGGTAGTTACTGAAAACACAAAATTTTCAGTTAGTGATAAAGTTTTTTTATAAACAAAGAAATATCACAATAATAATAAACTGTTAATAACTAAAGGCATCTCTATAAGCTAGACTAACTTATGTCATAAAGAATAAATTTGAAAGATTTTGCACCTTCTCTCCCTATTGCGTAAAGTAAACATCACAAAGTGCACACAATTTCAAAATGCACATTAGTTATATTAACAAATAATTACTAAGACCTTAAATTATGCAATTTGAATTTTTAATAAGTTATAATATATAACTAAAATATTATAATTAACTAACCCGTTGCTGCCATATTCTTGAACACTTTTGAATAGTGCACTTGTAAAGCATTGCAAATGCTGTCCGCGTTCTTTTCTCAACTTATGAGCAACTGATTGGTATAAATTAGCCCCAATATTTCCATCACTGGCCATTCCTCCAGAAGCAATGATATTTTCATCATGCTGTCCATCAATATTTGAGCACAATAACCCAGAAGAAGTAGGTGGCATGAGAAATGATGCAACACGTTCTTGTTGTTTGCGAGACAATGATTTATTAGCAACCAATGACTGGAGAAATAATTCATAAGATAGTCTACGTTCTTCTAGTGAATGAGTTCTGCAGAAGAATATTGAATTTCAGAAATATTTAAGCACACATTTAACGTAAATGTGCCATATAATAGTACATTAAATAACGTTTGACTTTAAAGATGACTTTAAAAAAAAAATCTTATCTGTAGGTTTAAAAATTGTAATGAAATTATAGAGCATAAGTTTGTATTGTACAATTTAATTTACAGAAATAATCAGTAATTTCCTGAACCACAGGTAAATCGTTGTACAATCCGTGTTAGTTCCAAAGCATCCATTTGTTATCGTCACACATTGTATGATTTATTACATTACTAAAAAATTACTGCATCTAAAAGTAACATTAGTGACATTTATATTTAAGTAAAAACTTATGATGTATATTGTATATGTGTTGAACTAATATACCGGTAATAAAGATTATTTTCAACAAATTACCGCCTTAAGCGAATCAAAAGAACCGCGTTGTATGGGGTTGGAAGATCTTATTCTAGATAGAATCAGAAGTGTTGTAAGACAAAGTGTTATCTTGTATATCTAATTGGTTTTATACAGCAAAAATGAGTTATTTTTATACAGCAAAAATGAATTGACGACAAATGATTCATTGACTACAACGATATTGGAATAGAGAAAGTAAGGAAAAACAAAAGAGTAGTCATTTCAAACTCAATTATAAGTGCTAAAAGTTAAAAAAAATAACATATATCGTAATTGTGGTCATTACTAAACATATTTACATAAAAAACACCACTGAATTAAACCATGTTTTAAAATATATGACAAAAATATTTCAAATCAACTTTTAGTTATTCCCTAATATGCAAATGCAAATCTCATAAAAAATGTTTTATAAAAGCTCGATTTAATTATATAACTTATTGCTTTTTATATGATCAATAATTTCATAGAGTTAAATTGATTAAATTTATTAGAATCATATAAGAGTCTTAAGAAAATATTACATCATCTTAAGCTAACTAACAATAAGACCATGCTTTACTATGATCGGCTTCAAAAATTAATATTCAAATAATAAAATCTTGCAATTTTGATAAGATTCAAAATATAGTGGATGTGGTGGTATTTCATAAAATTCATGTACATTTACCTTACATAATAATAATTTGGATTTTTTTTCAGATTTTCCTTAAAACATTAGTTAATTTGCATCTGTTACCTAACATCTGGTAATACATCCCATTCACCAGTGCTTCCCACTTCATTTCTTAATGTGTGAAAAGATTTCTCTTTAACTGTTTGCATTACATTGTGTGGTGTTACAAAATTATTCGGAGAATAATTCGGTAGCATTGAGTTTGGCAAAGGATATATCTGCACTTCACAATGCACTCTAAATAAAGCTTCTGATGTCTACAAAATATAAATGCATTTAGTACATTTATTGCGTACAAACTGAATTATAATTCTGTCTATATAATTAAGATTGTATCAATTTAGCCGAATCAAAGATTTTTTATAGAAAGTCTCCAGAAGCAGTTCTAATCATGTATACATTTTTTAAATCTTTTTGTTTTTTAATTTTATTTGAAATTTGAAACATTCATAAGGGGGAATTTTTTCTATTGTACAACATGTATGTTATTTATATCAGGTAATAGGTTTTTGATTACTCAAAAATTAGTTTGATTGAACAAAAATATATTACATCAAATTAGTAATGAAAATTGACAATAAATAAAAGAAGATATGATGTATAAGTAAAAATTACTGGTTCATATGTGATGCATAAGAGACAAATAAACAATCTACAAGTTCGAGTCAGCAAAATAACAGAAAAATTTGGATATTAAAAAAAGAGAAAAAAATACTCTTGCAAGAATATAATGTTTACTTATACAAACCTGTGATCCATTTGTATTTTCCACACTATGCACTTTTACAATGTAATCTGAAAGTTTGGGATAGTGACTCTGATGTCCAGTATATTCCATTGTATAAAAAGAGCTGTTAGGAAGTAGTTGACCTATGATATAAAACGTATTAAAACACAAAATATGATAAAATAATCTTTTAACAAAAATATTGAAATAAAACTAACAAACCAGACAAATGAAGTACAATAAATGATACATAATACAAGATGAGATAACTGATTACCATCTACTGGTCCGCCTCGCAGGGCTCCTTTAATTTTAGTTGAAATGTTGCTCAAACGAGATTGAGTCTGAGACAGTTGTAATGGAGATTGATTAGCTTGATTTTGATGTTGTCGAGGTCTAAGGGAACTAGAAGTATAAAAGAAAAGGAAATATATACTTAATCTGAAACAGAGTTTGTTTACCCCTTTTATAAAAGACTGATTGTAAAAGACTATCAATAGTTGATGTGTTTTATTTAAATGTTTTGTGATATAAATACACTGAAAAAAATTACACTTTCTGATCTCTATGAGATTATTAGATGAAAGTAATGCTTTCACATTATTGCTCATATACACATATTAAATCATTTCACATATGGAATGTATAGTCCAATTAATAAAGCCAAAAAACAGAAACAATTAGAAAGTCCCCAAAAAATCATTATATCGAAAAATATAAATAATACGTATGGAAACAATAATGATGAAAAAACACCTAAATTTTTATGAAGTTAATCTAGACAATATAACTAATTTTAATTTAATGGAAATGGCACTTAGGTTTCATAATCAATATATCGATATAAAATAAAAAAATGTAGCACATATATTTTTGTTGACCCACACAGAAAGTGATGTAAATATTAAAGTACTACTATAATTATTCCTAACACAAAAATTAACACATTTTTTTCACAGGAAACCACCCAAAAATATTCTTCATCCTTATATAAATAACATACATAATGTTAGACCAAAACAAAAAACGTCTGAAATGCTTCAGAGTGTTTGTTAAGTATATTGAAAAACAATGATAAAAACAAAATATTTTACTTACCTGTTTATAGAAGTCTTACACACCTCAATGGGATTTTTAGGCCCATATGTTAATTCCAAAAACTATAAAAATGCAAAATAATATGAAAACCAATATATGATAATTATTTTAGTAAAGAATTATCTATTAAAAATTCATCTTACCTCAGGGCTTGTATAAAAGTCATTCAGTAGACCATCCAAGTATGAAAACACTTTATCATACAATTCATAAATTGGAGCTACAGTAGCTAGACCAACCTTTTCTGGATCCATTTTAGTTACGGCTTCAATATCTTTCAGATGTTTTGGTGAAATGGTAACAAATTGCATTAACTGATCAGAGCTATTATTACGTAAATATACATTCATCACAGCTTGCAGACTATTCTGCAAACGATCTAAATGTTTTTGTTTGATATCTTTTGAATTTCCTGTGGAATTTGGCAATCCAGTGGGTGCTGGTCTCATTAGCATATTATTCATATCATCTATAAATACAAATACATAGTAAGCCAAGGTATAATATTAAAGTAACAACGCACAGATTTTTACACACACTTTACTTAATAATTACAGCCTTTTCGAAACCATGGTATGCCTCATATTCAGTGTAATATCAATTGTCAATTAATTTGTGCTCAAATATTTCTGTATATTTTCTAACTTTTGGTACTGTGTCAAGCATTGTAAGAGAAAGTTAGTGTTTTAGTTTTATAAATTAAATATAATTTAAATAACATATTAAATAATGTATTTGTATATAATTTTTACAGTTTTGAAATTACACTGAAGATGAGGCATACCATGGGCTCAAAATGTCTGTAATTATTAAATAAAGTGTGTGTAAAAGTCTGAGTGTTGTGCTGTTCATATTAAACATTTATTATTTGTTCCGCTCATATTACAAAATTACTATCTCACAGCCTTCACTTACCAATGTGCAAACAAAATTGTAATAGATTTATTCGATCTGTTCTTTTCAAATACTGCATGAAACAATACAACAAGCTGTGATTTTTCAATAATAATGCAAGAGTAGATTTTCCTTGTATAAATGTTAAAGGCTTTGGCATAATATAAAATTCCTTTAATAATGGAACCTACAAAAAGAAATATGTATATTAAAATAATTCTGTTGTTAATATCGTCCAAAATATAAAATTTATACCTGCTTATTTTTTAAATCATCGTCATATTCCTTAGTATTGCTAAAAATACTGATAATTATATTGTTAATAATAGTTGGATCAGCTAAGCAATCAGTCAATGGCAATAGAACCCAACAGGATAATATTTCTCGGATAAGTGATATGAAGTTTCTGTAAAATATGTTGCAGTAAGACAAAATATTTATTACTACAATAAGTATGAAAAATTAAAGACGCATTGAACAAATTCTGTTATCTCAAATAATGATAACTTACCTACATTCGTGATCTTCTTTATCAATCAATAATGGCATCAGTTTTTCAGTTATTGTTCTTATATATTCAATTTCAGTATTTCTGTCCTTTAGAGCATAATGCTGTACGTAAGGTTTGGCACAGATCACTATTGAAAAGAAATCAAAATCTTATAATTATGATCAATTAATAACATCAGTAAGCGATAGTTAATTATTACTAAAATTTCCTCCAGTGTTACTATCAATATGTTTTCGAGATTTCATTGATTTTGAAACTCCATATAAATGAGATAAGGCCACCGGAAGTAACTTATCCATCAGTAGTATGGGAAAATCAATCTATAAGAATTGAGATTTAAACTAGATGTTTATAATAACTGTTATATGGAAAAATGTATCATAAAAAAGTTTATATGGAAAAAATAAATAAAAAAATAAATTAATGATAATATCAATCTCTTAAAATTTGCAATAATCATTTCAAAATAATTAATTGACTAATAAATAATATACATATAAGTGAAAGGAACTGTCCTGAGACAATTTTCTTTGAAAAATAAAAGTATATAAAATACATTAAAAATCTTGAATCTTAAAAAATTACAGAATTACAAAATATATTACCATTATTATTTAACATTACAATAGTAGTTCAGTACAAAATAATTAAATATGAGTATGTAGTTCTTAATAGATTCAATTTAATTTACCTGTTTTACTCTGCGTAGTACAATACTTGTAGAATATTTCAATGACTTTTTAACAGCATATTCAAATCTCTTGTCTTTTGATACATCTTGATACCAACCAATAACAAAATTTTCAAGAATTTTTTCATAGAGCTGTAGTTAATAAAATTGATTATAATTTAAACATTAAATTATTAATATACACATTAAATATATAATAAATACTTGTTTTATGGAATGATCTAAATCTCTGTGTATATACAAATTATTCCATGGTTCTTTTATTGGTTTTGGTTTATGCCGCAAACATTTGCCATTGTTGCACAAATCACATTCAACTAATTTTCCAAGAATTGGTTGTTTCTACACAAAAAAAAAACAATAAAATTATTCATTATTTGCAATTAAACACAGTGGAAGTCCATTAGTCCGGCAGCCAACAGTCCAGAATGCCCATGTGTTTGCCATCAATTAAAATAAATGTAATTATTTTTGTTTTCTTCAAAATGTCTTTAAACCAAATAAAAACACTTGAGAGCTTTTGGGAAGTTTTCGAGATAGTTCAAGATCATTAGGAATCTCTCGGTATTAATTTTTCCTGGAATAGACTGTTTATCTATCAGTTCATATCTGAACAAATCACAGTGATTGCTTCAAAATACAAAAATAGAATAAAAGTCCATCTAAGTAAATTAGGAAGTTGAGATTTTGTTTACCATATAAGATACTGAAGCCATCCTTCTCTTGGACAATTCTAAAGCCCACAAAAGCCCGTAAATGAGTTAATTTTTGGAAGTATTGTTGCCACACTTCTTCCATGTAATATTTTTAATTCAACACATTGACCAAGGGGTTATTTAAAATTTTAAATCCATTTATAGTAGATCTTTTATTCAAGACCTGTTAAAATTCGAATGCGATGGGAATAATTAGAATAAATCAAAAAGTTTACATAGTCACTTTTGCTGCAGGTTATTCTAACTACATTGCTTCGCAAAATTGATTTCCATGTTATTATTTTTGCATTGAGAATAAATTTTATTCTAAAGGCTTAAGCAAGTCCAGAAAACAAAGACAATTGTCACATTTTTAAATTTTAGTGAGATTTGTTTTACAGTATATGCACATACAATATATGCAAAATAAACTTCGTTCTATGTAATTACATACTCTATTTGTAGTTCAATTAATTACCTAATTGTTTTTATAATTACTTCCCGATAGTCCCAAATTTTCGGTACAAGTGCATGCTGAACTAATGGATTTCTACTGTAATAATTCAGTACTCTGTTGTACTTTAAAATAAAATTGAATGCTGTTTAATTTAATAAAATGCTTTAATAAAATTAACTGAAAATATCACATATTTATTATATGTCATTTTATGAATTGAATTTAATAGAATTGTAATACAATTAGTAAATATTGAATTATATAATAAAAACTAATAGCAAATATTTTATTATTTTTTTACCTGTAAATCTCTATAGCCAAATAAGGTACAAAATTGTGGAATGTACTTAAAAATAACATCTTTGTATAATATTATCAGCCCACAAACAATGCATCCTAAGATGTAAGAAAAGATGATAGTACATGCAGAAAAAGTGCTGAAAATAATTAAATTTAATGTAAATCATAATGTAAAGCACTCAACATTTTGATATTTTCAAATAATAATTATTCAACCTGTAAACTAAGGCAATCAAAACTGATATCGTTAAAGTTGTTGTTACACTAATTTTTGCAACAGGGTCCTTCCAATATTCGGCTAATAACATTAATGTCTTTTTATCCATTTTCTTACATTCTTAATAATTCTGTGTTATATTGAGTCATTCTTACAGAAAATTTTTTTCGACTTTTGTAAATACATGAAATGTCAAAGTTAATGGTTAAAAATTGACATTATCAGATGTCGCCACTTACAACAAAATGGTTCATGTCAATGATAAAGAAATAGCGCTAAAATTGAAAATACGTTAAAAGAAAAGCATGTTAGAAGTATATTAACTAGTGGAACATGTACATGGCTTTGTTGCTTAACGCAAATTGCTGGAACTACCAATATATTCTAAATAAATCAATAAGTTATAACTATTGTGGTAGATATTTTAAATGTTGTAAATTAAATCGTCGTATTTTATAGATCTACTGAGATAAGATATGAAACAAGATCTAATATTCTTATAATCTAATCTAATAACAAATTTATCAATAGAGTCGATTATTATACGCAAGCCATCCAATTTTTCTTAAATGTTTAAAGCAGTTAATTGCTTCAAATCATCATTAGACAGACTAGCTATTGCAAGTTAAATATTTTTTTTATAATCTTCTAAACTTACATCTAATATTTCTGGTTAATTCTACGTTAATATCATTCATCTACAACAGTGTTTCCCAACGTGGGGCGCACGCCTCACCGGGGGGCAATTTGTAATTTCAGAGGGGCAATTTGAAAATTTTGGTGATTTTAATGTAATGTAGTATAGTATCGGTAAAACATTTAACAAAAAAATGCTTCTTAGATTTAACTAATAATAATAAGGTGTCCCGGGACAGTCCTAGTATTCAACCTTGCTTTCCTGGTGCCGGAGTTATGTTTTTTCAGCTTCAAATGATTCTTTAGGTTTGTTGAGGTAGTCTACATGTAAAACATTTTTTTTATTGTATAGTGAGAAATTTAGCTGTAGAATAGTAGAAAATACTTTTTTGATCGGTTATATAGTTGTCATTTAGCGTTTGGTGAAAGATGGAATATCACAAGCTGTTGAACGTGAAGATATGCAGAAATTTTTATTTTCGATTTTTTTAAGATTACTAAAATATACTCTACAGAACGTTAATAAATTAGATCGTAATATTCTGTTATTGGCATTTTTTTAAAAATCTATAAATATCGTAAAGTACATACTAACATACTAATATACAAACACTAGCCGTTTTTTTTAAAAAAATTATCGATTTTTTTAAAAATGAGCAGCGCTTTTTGATGTGAGTGAAAATTTTACTTTTGTCGACGGTTAATAACTGACGAGGTTAAAAAAAATTCTAGTGTTTCTTCAACAATTCATTTTTGGTCTCAGATAAAATAGCGTTAAACTAAAACTGCAGTAAGCAAAGCCGCGCTAAATGGGGATCACTGTATTAAATTCACAAAACTAACTTCAAAAATTAATAACAAACGGTTTTATTATACAACGAGAACTTTATTATTTTTTAAATTAATTAGAGAAAATTAACATTTAATGAATTAGTATTCTTCGAGTTGTCCACAGGCCCGCGCTTCTTCGTAACTTTTTCCACGCTGGTCGGGTCCTGGCGGCGGTGGATTTACCCGGATCATATCATCAATTCGAAGAATAGTAATGGCGGCTTCAGTGGCAAATCGTATAGCTTTGATCTTAGAAGTTGCAGGTTCTATAACACCAGCTTTCATGTTATCACGAATTTTTCCAGTGTCCAGATCTAAACCAGTCCAACGTAAATGGGCCATATCCGGCTAGGTTAAGAAAGAAGATGAATTATGAGGCTTGGTAATACTAAAGTTAGTTAAAGGCTTAAGATTAAATTAAAGAATTTGTATAAAATTGACAGAAATATATTCTGCTGGTTTAGCTTTTCTAATAGTTTGTTACTACACCTGTGTCTGACTCAAATGATGCTGAGCACGCAGTTTTGCAGTGAGATCTGTTGCATCATATGCTCCATTCACAGCTAGAGACGTGGGAATAGTCAAAAGTGCTGCGGCAAACTCTGTGATTGCTAATTGCTCGCGGGTTGCCTGTTAAATTATTAGATTAACACAATTTGAATAATGTTCTTAATGAGGTATATGCAAGACAAACATCCTAACAAAAGTTTAGATAATATATTTAAAAACTAAACTTACAATCGAATTGGCGTAATCCTCAAGCCACACACTAAGAGCAGATTCTACAGCACCGCCACCAGCAACCACTGCGCCACCTTCGATTGTGCGCTTGATAGCGCAAAGAGCATCATGAATGGAACGTTCCATTTCCTCACAATATGTATCATTTGGACCACGAACGACAATGGAAGCTGCACCCCTAGATCTAGGACTGAATTTTTTTTTTTTTTTGTTACAATTTATTTTTGTTAATCAAGACTTTAATGTCTTAAGGACTGAAAAATGTGATCGATAGTTAGATTTTTTATTTGTCGCGGACATATGAAATACATATATTATTATATAGAAGCGACAATATTTTGCTATATAAATCAGAGACCAGTCTATAATGATAAGAGCGCCGGAACGAGGTAAGTTCCTAAAAATAACGGCAGGAAATCAGAAAGACGTGAATTACTTCAAATACTTGGGAAGAATTCTGACCAATTGCAAATAGAATAGAGTAGAGATCAGGGCAAGAATTGCAAGTCCCAAAGCTTAAAAAAAGAACCGTACTTACAAGCAAGTTGAGCCTGGACTTACGAAAGAGTCTAATAAAGTGTTATGTCTTTGTATGAGTCAGAGACATAGACTCTAAGTATTGCCGACAAAAACTCTCTGAATTGTTTTGAAATGTAGTGCTAGGGAAGAATGGAGAGGATAGAGTTGACAGATAAAACAACAATTGAAGAAGTATTAAGGAGGTTGGGAGAGACAGTTTATTGAGCACAACTCTTGAAAGAAAAGGAAACTGGATTCGTTCCACTCAGCAATGGGTGACTACATTACGTCGTTAGAGGTTAATAAAAGGGCTAAAAAGAATGCAGCTGATTATAAAATAGAATAAAGAGTAAATATATTTACGTCCCTCTATACAGAGAAGTAAAAGCCGAAGCACAGGACCAGAAAGCACGGAAGCAGAAGATTGAAAACAAAATTGCATAAGAGTGCAAAAAGTAAAAATGAAATAATAACAGCAATAATATTCAATTAAGGAAAAGGAAATCTCTCACTTCATGGATCTGCTTTCAGGCATACATTTATTATTATACAAGCGATGATACACTTATTTAATAAATGCGATACTGTGAATAAACATTTTGTAGCATTCATTATTATAAATTTATAGTGAACAAATAATGTAACTATAAATAAAGTTTGTAAATTATGTAAAGAACAATTAAAAAGCAATATTATAAAGACAACAAAAATTACATATAAAACTACAAAATGAAGTAAACAAACAAAGTATGTTTTCTGTACAAAGTGCAACAAAAACTTGATTACTAAAATGGTTGCAGTTGCAATACAATAAACTATAGTATTTACTCGTATCTATCATGCTTCAGAAAATATTATAGATGCAGCTAGAAATTGACTTATTTTATTTGACATGAAGTGTAATATAGTCTTTTATGAAGTTACCCTCGGATCACAATCATTTCATCGTCAGCAATGCATTCCTGGTAAACTTCATCAGCGACACCATACATGTTTTCAGTGAACACTTCTTCGCCATCCATGTCGGATAAGGATGTCAGAAAAGATGCGCCGGTAGCACGAGCTATCCGTTTCAAGTCGGAAACCTTTACTCTGCGTACCTAGATAATGAATTTGTTAAGGGGGTCTTCCTATGTGATGGGTTGAAAAAATCGATTTTTTTTTCATTAATTGCTCCCTTAACATGTCTAGAATACGGTAGTAAAGCGATTTTAGAAAATTCGAAGTCGTTTTAAAGATACAGCAGGTAAAAGAAAGAGCGGTTCGGAGCGCTGAGTTGGCAGTTAGAGCCCGGGCCTATTGTGTACCGTCGGCTTTATACGCGGCCTCCCTTTTATTCATATATCCGTTTATTTATCCATTCTGGTCCCAAAATTGTTGAAATTGCTAGCTACTTAGCAGTTATTATCTTTAATGAAGGTTTTCAAGGTATTTTAAAAGTTATGTCGATTATGAGATGCCCTGTTGGTCGTGGAGCCCAAGCGTATGTTGAGAAACGGGATGAAAAGCGAATCTTACGTTCTGAGCGGCGCGTAAGTGATGTCGTTAAACAAGCCAAGATTGACTCAAGAGCTGAACAATCTGCTTCAAAAGAGTTTCACGAGAAAGTGGAAGGAATACTCTATGGACCAGGCATCGCCGATTGAGAGTAAGTTGATATTTTAATAGTTTTTAACGGACTTGAAACTTTAAACGCGTTTTTCTCAAAACTGTGTTTTTCAAACATCCCTCCATTGTATCCCAGAAACGGCTGGACCGAATTACTTGAAATTTTCAAAACTTCGATATGTTTATAGCAAAAAACAAAAAACGCCTAATTTGCAACTTTTATTTCAAATGTCTATCAAAAATCCAATTTTTTTATATTCATTTGATTATGGGTCATTCCGTTCTTTTAAGCCTACAAATTAAACGCCGTTTATTTTTTTTTCAGATAAGCCGATCAGCCGGAATCGTGGAGGAAGTGGGAGCTTTATTTTTCGAGGCGGGGGTGTTCAGAGCGCTGTAACTCTAGTCTGACTGAATATTTTTAGCTGAAATTTCATATTTATACTGTCCAAATATGTGTTAATAAATGATAAAAAACTTGAAGCTCTAAATATTTACTGGTCGTAGAAAAAAAATCCTAAAATATCCCTAAAAAACAGGCCGTCACATAGGAAGACCCCCTTAAACTATATCATAAACGACTGAAAATAATGCCTCATGTATCTTATGAAATATAAATTATTGTATAGAGATATTTAATTATTTATATTGGCATATAGCGATTATAAGTGTACTTCTATTCTCTAAATTTCTATAAATGTATAATAAAAATATGTATTTACTACTATAATTCCAGCATCGCTAAAATATTTCAGGCATAAGTCATCTACACCACCAGTGGTCAATAGCACATTGATACCGGCAGCTATGATTTTCTGCACCTTCTCTTTCGACATATCAAACTCGCGCATTCTGACGCGGGTTAATTCATCCATTTGAGTAATTCTCACCTAAAGAAATCGAATAAAGTTGTAATTTTAAATGACAATAATATTTTCTTTATATAAAAATGTTGATGATGTTGAATGAACCATTATATAGAACTAGTAAAACGTTATTAACTAAGGTATAACACTGCGTGATGATACAAGTTTATATTCAAAATCACTGAGACCACCGTGTTCTAGAAATTATATTCTTTAAATGGTTTGTTTAGGAATGAAGTATAATTTTAAATAAAAATTATTTTTGAATCCTTAGAATGAATCAAAATTTCTCGATAATTTTATTATATAATTCTTTTGTATTATTGATAGATAGTTTAAATTACTTCGACTCCAACGCGTGCTTTGCTTTTTTGTAATGTGAAGTCTACGCATGCAATTCGAGCTGGTGCTACACGATGAGGCATACTTGCAGCAGCAATTGTATTAGGGATGGCGTAGCCATGAATCAAGCAACTGTCACGAGCTCCTGCTCCATGGGCCTTCAGTACATTTACTGACCGGATAGGGCATAGATTATTTTTGCCTTGAAACAAATAATGATTTAAATTATATATTAAGAGGATATGGATCACAGTATTTTAGGATAGGCAAACATGATACAATTTGTTGAAATTTTTTTTAGTGATCAAATGTAAACGACTTATGATATGATAATATTGTTATCAAATAGATTATCCGGGTAATTCTGCCCCATAAAGGAGCGTTTGTCTTGTTTATATGTAAAATACGCCTGTTCGCACAGCAAATAAATGGAAATTTTCGCAGTTTCAAAAATGTAATTGTTCATTGACTATTCAATTTAGTCAATTATAAAAGTATTATTTATTTAATTATGGGTTTTTTCGTTAGTAGTAGGTAGTAGGAAGGCAAAGAGAGGCTTGTTGTTACAGTGTTTTTTTTTAACTGGTATATATAGAGATCCACTAATTATACTTCTACGAAATAAAGGTAGATGCTGCAACTATTTTTCTACCAAATCAAGTAAAAATAATTGCATAACTATTGTCAATTATTTTACAAATAATCATTTTATAGAAAATGCGGCGTTCATTCCGTGCTTGAGGCTAGTTGTAACATCTACTGGCGCAAGCAGTACTGGAAAAAGAACTACAAAAATACTTCTGATAAGTTAATATTTGCTTATTTTTAAGAAAATTAGCATGTTTCTAAGTAATTGTTCTCATAAATCAACATAAACTGTAATTAATATAATCTCAAACAAAAAACAAAAATTCTTATCATAAATCAACGTAAAATTCAATTAATACAAATAAGATATATAGATAAGATATATATAGAGTCTTCTGTAACACAATTTACATACGCTCACATCTTACAAAAATATACATTTCAGCGAATCTTCATTTTTAGAATCTGTATAAGCCTACATACTAGAACTAGACAATACGATTTGCGCATACTACAAGACTACAACTAGGTTCAAGGTTTCGTTTCAACTAACATTGGATGTAATTTAATTACTACTTTTACGATAAGCTCCTAGCGTCCCTACTATTGTAAGCATTATTTAATTAGAGGTATATTAATCACGTGATCGATTTTTAAAGATTTTTGGACCTTCTCCCACTTGGTGATACATGGTGATATTCAAAATTACCCCCTCCCCCAACAAACATCACGTGTATTTTTAGTTACGAGCAAAAATGGTAAAGTTTTTGATTTTCATTTGAAAATGTTTGGATTATTATAAAAAAAATCAAATGAAAAATAAATACACGTGATATCTTATTATAACCCTCCCACCCCCATGTAATATTACGTGATTTTTTGTCAATCCTCTCTCGTGATTAATGGACGCATTAAAAAGTGATTAACGCATAGAAGAGTGATGCATGAAATCGCTATTCATGTTTAAGCATATGGTGCTTATTACCTACATATTTAAAATTATTTATATGTATCATGACAAACTAGCTGACCCGGCAAACGTTGTTTTGCTAAATAAGTTATATTTTAAACAATTTCTAGAGAATCAAAAATATTAATACTTTTAGTGTATAAGGATGTGTTGTTTGAATGCTATATACAATGAGGTATTATAAAAACAATGAACCCCATTAGTTTGTATATATTTTGTCAACACAATCAAACTGGAAGTTTTATACACTTTCTATAGAAAACATGGTATAATCCAATCCAAGTCTTTTTTGGTCTTTCGACTTATTGATAACGTTTCAAGTTTTTCAGATTGTTTTTGGATTCTGGATTTTGTGTATAATTGCAATAATACTACTGAGCTCATACAAAATTTTCAAATTTCTGCGAGGAGAGATAGAAAATTTATAAATTACTATTCTTCTTCGATATTCTTCGATAAATTCTGGGAAATTATAACTGGGAAAATATTATTCGATAAAATGCCACTTTGATCGATACCAAATTTAGGTTCTGAATTTAAATAACATAAATAAAAAATAATATAACCTAGAAAATGTTTTATAAATACAAATGAGTATATAATTATACAAATGAGATCTTTCAGAGCACCGTGTTTGAGAAGAATGTGCCAAAAAGTGGATTTTCATATTAACATTTCAAAAAAGTTGATATTTTGAGTTTCTAGTAACACTTGCGGTCAGTTTAATAACGTTTTTGCGTATAAATATAACTACGAACAAGACTACTTACTACAATTTGATCATAATTAAATAATATGCATGTAAAACATCCCATTGAACGTAATTGAACTTTATCTGTCAAAAGCGTTTGACATTTCACGTATGAGCCACTGTCCATTGTTTTATTTAAATTACGCCTCTACAAAAATTTTCAAACTAAAAATGTAAAGTTTCTACGCGATTTTGAAATAATATCTTACCCTTCCGACCTTCTCTGAATTGGCACGAATTTTTCAAGACTAAGACTGGCCAAATCGGTTCAGCCGTTTTCGAGTTTTAGCGGATCATTTGATCGAGAGCTCCATTTTTATATATAAGATATACATGTATAAAATATGTAGAATCTCGGATATTTTTTTTTCTTTTTCAATCACCTTTGATTGCCAAAGCAGCATCTACCACTAATCCAGCAAAATGTTCTGCGTCGGCTCCTCCAATTATCTTAGACCCAATGGAAGTGCGTGCAGCAGCTAAAAGCGTATCTCGCAAGCCTGATGCATCGCTCGCGTCGCCTGCACTTGCATCAGGACGCACGTGTCTAGCAGTTGCCAGGTTAGTATTAATATATCGACATGCTTCCTTACAAGCCATACGGTATCCCAATATAACGCTGGTCGGGTGGATGCGTTGTCTGACGAGATCGTCTGCTTTCTACAGAAAAAAAACTAATTTGATTAAAATATATGTTAGTAAATATTGGAACTTATAGTTTAACCTTCTTACATATATACACACACTTGTTCACGCTTTTATTTTCAATTAAAAATTATAACAAAAATGCTAGTTTGTATGAGGGTATATGAAATGCATTAGAAGAATCAGCCAATCAAATGCCCCATAGTTTTCTAAGAGACTCGATTTCTGACAGGCCTCCAAAAATGTAACACACACATTCATGGATACTGATTGTCTTTAGTCTTCTATATAAAAAAATCCAACGAACATATTGATGTTTTTGGGGAAAATTAATTATTAACTTCCCATGGGGTAAGTTATTGTAATCGTCCAAAAATTGAAATTGAATTTTTTTACATTTATTCACGTTTTGAAGGTTTCTGAACATTTTGACATACCTCAAAAAAATGGATGTGTGTGCGTCTGTGTGTGTATATGTGTGTGCGCAAATTAATGTATGGATACATTTTTTCGTCCACGTTTTCGGGCGCACGGATCAACCGATTTGAATGGTTAAAAAAACATTCGATTACTATTGATAGGGCTGATTAGTTTTTCGCGAAGTCAGGTCGAGCCGTTTCGGAGATATGGAGCAAAGAATGCAGAAAATAGAAATCGAGTTTTTGAGAGATCGGAGCATCGATCATTTGAATGATCCAAAAAACATTCAATTCGTAATGACGGGGAGAAGTGGTGATTAGTTTTTGGCAAAGGCAGGTCCAGCGGTTTCGGCGATTCAGAACTAAATGTGCAAAAAATGGCAGTTTTTGAAAGAACTAAACGTCCAATCTGAATGATTCAAAGAACTTTAACGTGCTTGTTTTAACAGAATAATTGCTTTTGGGGAAAAAATGTTTCAATTTTTTTTTCAAAATTTTTTTTTTAATTCTTTTTTTCAAAAAATATTTTTTGTTGTATATCGAAAATAATTCAGATTTTAATTGTAATTCTGACTAGAGTTCTAATAGACTTTAAACAAATATTTTCAACTTTGCAATTCAGTTTATATAATTCATATAAATATTAGACAATGTTACAGTATTTATTTATAATAATTTATTTGAAAACATTTAATATTCCTCGAACAATTTTTACGGTACGGGAAGTTCCAGCAATTTGCCTTAAGGCACGATGCCATACACACCACTAGTTTAAAATTGATTTCTTTCCTGACTTATGTGAAATCGTTTATTTTCCAAGTTTAATAATCCATAAAAAAATATTTTTTTTCCAAAAGCTATTATTTCGTCAACACAAGCAGAATGTTTTTTTGAATCATTCAAATCGGATGCTCCGTTCTCTCAAAATCTCGATTTCTACTTTCTGCACTCTTTGCTCCGTATCATCAAAATGGCTGGATCTGCATTTGTCAAAAACTAATCAGCACATCTCCCCTATCAAGGGGAATCGAATGCTTTTCGAACCATTTAAATCGGTTCAGCACGGAAAACGTGGACAAAAAATTCATTTCAACGAAAAACGTAAACATCATTTTTTTAAGAATTATGCAGATATTTTCAATTTAGATTCTTAGACAATTACAATAATTACGAGAAGTTAATTATGTATAAATTCGTGTAAATACTCGTATATTGTTAGAAGCGTAAATTATATGGAAACCATAATTTTATTTGCAATAAACCATTTAAAACTGAATTTATTTCTTTCATGGATTTTCTCACTTTTTCATTAGTAATAAAACAAATGTTGTCCGGTCTACATAAAAAGGAGCTCTATATTGGTTATGAAAGCAATATTAGTAATAAATGCCTAAGGTTCAAATATTGCACCACGGTTGACTCACCGCCATCTCGCCATGATTCATTCTTACGGGAGTCACAATGCTTAATGCATTTAGTTGGTTTTACTATCATACTATCAATACTTTATACATAATATGTTACTATGAAATTAAAGTAAAATATATTACAATACTCCTTTTATATAATGATTTGTTAAATAAATTTCCCAATCACTGTAATACTGCGAAAAATGTATATTTAAATTAATTAAATAGGAATAAACCTTCAGAAGTTCTGCAGCCATTAGTACCACACCCGTGGTTCCGTCTCCGCATTCCTGATCCTGAAGACGTGCCAGATCCACTAACACTCTTGCAGCTGGATGTTCAATATCTAAATTTGATAGAACAGTTGCGCCATCGTTTGTTACAATCACATCTCCAACTTCATCCACCATCATCTTGTCCAGGCCAGAAGGGCCTAAAGATGAACGTACTATGTTGGCAATTGCTACAGATGCAGTCACTGAAATAAATCATTATAATCAATACTGATGAATCAACAATAATTGAAAAAAGAACAAATCGAATCGTTCACGATATTTATACTTGCTATCAAATAAAGATATTTCGAATTTTAATTACTACTTAGTTATATATAATTTAAGTAAAATTATTTTTTTGTTACTTTCCTTACGATTAATATTACAATTAATCCATTATAATTTATTTATATTTTTATTTTTTTTATTTAATATTCATTTTTTTCTTACTATATTTTATCAATTTTTCCAGTTGGTTAGTTCTTCATCGGTTGTTTCTTTCTTCGAAATATATAGTTACAATTTTTAAGTAAACTTTAGTTTTGTCGCAGGCTACTAGTAAATTAACAAAATTATCGTTGGTTAAAAAAAAGTGGCACAATCGTACCCAATCTACCCTACTAAAATGATAAACCTACAAGAAGCGGCTTAATAATAAAAATAATTAAAGCTTAGATCAGCCGCGGTTTTAGAAATATTCTGTGTGTGTATTTAGATGCGTGTTCGCATTTCAATAAAGTTTATTATTTTAAAATGTATCAAAAATAACTGACACATTTGAACAATTCATACAAAATTAAATAATCTACAACAGTGTGTCATATTATATGCTCTACACTAACTTGCTATACTTAAAAATGACTCACAAATTAATATAATGATTTCTTATTGACTAAGTCGATCTTTCACACTTTTATTGCAGTTCATGCAACTTGCCTTATGGCAAAATTCCACTCACACATAGTTTTTAACTTGCTGCAGGGTAAGTTATAGTAATCGCAAAAAATCGGAAATAGAAATTTTTATATATCTTTACGTTTCAAAGGTTTCTGAATATTTTGGCTTACCTTAGAAAAAAATTATATATGTGTGTGTGTGTGTGCACGTGGGGATCGCGGTTCAACCGATTTCAACTTTTCAAAAAACATTCGATTGCTGTTGATAAGGAGACGTGCTGATTAGTTTTTGGAATAAGCAGGTCTAGCCGTTTTGAATATACGGTGCTAAAAGTGCCACAAACGGTAACTCAGTTTTTAAGAGAACGGAGCGTCCGATTTTAATAATTCAGAAACATTTTACTTGTATTGACAATGTGAAGAATTGATCAAATTTTTATGAAGGCAGGTCTAGCGGTTTCGGAGATCTAGTAAAAAAAAATGCCATTTGGCGGTCAAAAATGATCATTAGACATATGCACATCAAATTATCAAATATTTTATAGAGATTTTAACAATAAGTATAAATTTTGTTTACATTCCTATGGGTTCCGTACCAATGTTTATCCGTTAGACGGCGACGCGCCGCTTACGCGCTTCGAAATTTCGTCTCTATGCAGTTAAAGCAGTATAATTGCTTTGAAAAAAAGCAAATCTTTTTTTTTCAAAAAAAGTAAAAATTTGTCAAAAAATTAAAGTTTTTCAAAAATCTATTTTTTTCTAAGTAAAATCTCTTCAAAAATGTTAATTTAAAAAAAATTGGTACGAGATGTTCCAGCAATTTGCCTTAAGGCACGATGCCATGCGCCCCACTAGTTTAAATATATAACATAATATATGAATCACGCCGGTTATTTTCTAATAGAGATACTAACCTACATTTACGTATTATATTGACTAACATTATATTCGTACAATAAAGGGTACAAATATTGAAAAAAAACGAATAATAAATATGAAACTAGGAGTAATCCAATTTCTTAGCTTTTTAAGATAGTATATTATATTATAAAATATTTTTTAATAAATAACTATGTCAACATAACGTCCAGACCACCAGAGTAGGTCGGTGATTAGCGTTGACATCCATACATGAAATACTCTCAAGAAAATGTAACAAATAGTTTCAAGGCATTATAGTCAAATTTTAAACAAAACAGTGATGTCAGAATATCATAATATTAAAATTTACATTTGTTTTTCATTTTGTGAATTAATGTCAAACTCAATTATGTTTTTATCTAAAAAACTGAGAACGTTTTCATTATTTAACAAAATGTTTTTTAGCTTCTTTAAGGAAATGATTTTTAACTTTATTCTCGTATTTGTTAGCAATATTTTTCAAGAAGGACTTTGATTCTAATGACAGCCAACCAGTACTCAAACTATTTTGAGGTAACCTATTTTATCAATTTAGGTGAGCTTAAACATTAATTTTATAGCCCACTTTAAAGTATTCTGCAGGAGGTTATATAAATTATTTCAATTTGTTTGAATTTGATGAAATAATTGATAAAATATTAATATGCCAAAATGGCGTCTAGAAGTCAATGAATAAAATGCTAACCGTTTTGTGTCCTCACAGATTCACCGCTCATCCTGCTTCCATCCACATCTAATAAACCACCGCATGACATATATCTGTGGCTGGATGCTGACATATTTAAACAATTATGAGAATTCCGTTTAAATAAATTTATAACTCAATTGTATAAAATAACAAATTTTGCTTTTGATCAATGCGTTAAACAAAACAATTGCTAAAGGAAAATCGACCAATGAGAACAACGCACTTGATTCAGAAAAATGTTGCCTGATGCAAACAAATATTTCTGTTTGTAATAAAATGAGAATAGTGTTAAAACGTTGAATTTGAATATTTATTTGATTTTTAATAAGTAAAAAAATAATAATAATTACCTTCAGTAAACATATATTGTTTAAATATTATATTTGGTTTTATTTTTCTAAATACAATTTCCACCTTTTTTTGAACAAATTATTATAATAATTTTTCACATCTAATTATTTACTAAGTTTTGAGGATGGAATACGTCCATTTCTTCAGGAACTATTGAAAGCAAATATTTTATTTATATTTTATTTATATTATTTTTATTGAGAGGAGTGTTTGATTATAATAAAATAGAGAAAAATTGTTTTTTACATTTGAAACTATTTTTTAAACTAACTCTCAACTCTAGGGGATATATGGAAGGTGGGTACATATTCTTCTTTTATCTATGGGTGGGTAACTAGTAACGGCGTTTTTCAATAGGATCATAAAAGATATTAAAATATTTTTTTATCTTGATTGGACACGTAAACCGTCCTGCATAATATTGTCATAGTTACTGTCCCGCAGGCCGACACAATAAACAGAACTGTGCAGGTCCGTCATTTTAGAAAGGTAATATAATATTTATATTATATTTATATTTATATTTATTTATATTTATATTTATATTACGGATATAGGATTAAATTTAATAATCACAGAAAATAAATTATCTAAATTGAATTAATTACAGTAAAAAATGTTATAAAACTCAAATAGTTTAATTAAGGCTTGTAGATCTTGAGTTTCTTCTTATAGTAAAACAAATCCTTTAAATATCCGTTATGCAATTTTTATATTAAGAGCAGTATCAAAAAAGAATAATATGAAAATAATTGTAATGATAAAATACTTAAAGTAGAAAAATGTTAAAATAATTTCGAATAAAAATTAGAAAAAGTATGGAAAGAGAAAAAATAATTGTAACTGTTGGAAAAAAAAGTATTATTTATTATCAGTAGGCATTTCATTTTCAAAATAATGTTTGATATCGAAATTGGCAAACCCAGAAGTATCGTAGAAACTTTGAGCTTTAAATTGACGACCATTCAATTTTCCTAATATGTAGTGGGAGTAGATTAAAAGCTGTACTCCTTTTCCGTCTATGGTATTAAAACATGTTTCAAGTTTAAAAGTTGGTCCTTTTATAGTCAAATTTCTTGTTTTATAATTGGAATTCAACATGGAGAATAGGTTGAAGTGTTCAGGATCATTCTTTATGAATGACAACGTAATTAGCAAAAATATACAGG